CCCCCCTATTTGTGAGTCAACAAAGAGTCTGGACTTGTTGAATATGGATTTCTATATAGGTGACTTTTATTTTGGTTTGCAGTCTGGCTTTTCTAGTCTCTAAAGCAAATCTCTTTGTGTTTTTGTTTTATAAAGTACATGTAGCTTTTAATCAGACCAGGGATGTTATGCCTTAAATAACCACACGAGTTAATAGAAGCCGAGTGATGAAATTGAATGAGTAATGAACTGTCAGCCCTTCAGCAGTTATTCTTTAGTTGCCCTTGAGTGGGACACTTAGCCACAAAAAGCTTCAAGGGAGCCAGTCATTTAAAAGCAACAGCAGGAAACCGTGAATGTGCTACTAGCAAGTTACTAACAGGTATGTCGGTGTGCACCTAGTGATGCAAAATATAGAAATGTTGAAAACGGCCTTTGTTCTTGGTAACAATCTTTGGACAAGAACAGATGTCATTACTTTTTCTTGTATTACTAAATTTGTGTTCAGTTGGATGGCACAAAAGTAAATGAAATAACACAACATTTGTCTAGTCTACATGTTGGATGGACAGAACTATGTGAAGAGAAATGTAAAAAAAAAGACAAATAATTTTGACTGATCACAGTTGTGCACATGATTTATTGGAAAGGCCTAATATGGGCAAAGAAGAAAGGGGATAGTTTTTAAGGATTCATGACTTCAAGTTAAAATCATTCGATCTGTTGAACAGAACACATGTGGCGTGTGGATGTGGTGTTATCAGCACACAAGAGTGTTGCTGTTGGTCTAGACACCCACTGCGTGGTTTCCTCTAAAGTGACGCCATGGTCTGCTGGTTGCTTGTGAAGTGGTTTCATCAACTGCCACATCTAAGGCATCAAATCTTAGGACAGTTTTCTAACAGCTGGTCTGAAAAAACCAGATCCTATCTTTTCTGGCTGTCATTTAAAGCTGCCATTTTGGCTTATCTATTTTTTTTTTTTTTTTTTTTTTTTGACATACAAGAAATTTTTTACTTGGGCAATATGAAAGGCATTTGTCATTTTTCAAGTCCATAGGAAAACAAGTCTACCACTCATTTCCACTATGGCATCAGTAAACACTTTCATCGGTTTATAGTCTTAAACACCCTTTAATTCAATTTAATTCAATAGTTTCGAGTTATTGCAATAAGATAAGTCCACTAGCTGCTTGTAATAGCTTTACTTTTCACATTTCCCCAAAAAGTATCAAATATTCTTCTTGAGTTTCTTTTTTTTTTCATTCCATGTCTGCTTGTGTAGGTGAAAAATTCAAGATACTGCTCACGGATTTAAGGAAGAGTGTGGTGATATAAGTGCCGTCTATCATCACGGGCAAAATCTCATCATTATACTCTTTCTCCACACACCTCTTATTTTCTCTACCGCCTTTGGAAAAAAAAATCCCCTGTGCTTTGTTGTTTTCTAAGAGGAATAGAGGTCAAGAGGGAAAATGAAATTAGGCTCTCATTTGAACATGGTGGAGCAGGAGAGTGTGCTCATTAAACAGCCAAACCCCCTGCTGCAAAGTCATTAAGGCCATATTTACCATGCAACAGCAGTATGTGCAGAAAACCTAAGATTTACCATGTTGTTTCCACTTAATTTGAAGGAGAAAAAGAGGTAGCTACAGAATAATGCTAGAAAAGAGAAGGAAAACAAATATGAAAGTCAAAAAATTGTATGATTAAATGTTGATTATAGTAATAGATATACAGTTCAGACATTATTACTGTGTACATCGAGTTGAGAGGCAGAGGCATTCACATAGAAATGACCCCTTGATGTACAGTAGTATGCATAACGACTGCAACTGTAATGTCACTCAGCTCAGTTCAGCAACCTTGGTCTGGAGATAGAGTTAATGTCTTTATTTCCACCATGGCTTCATGCATTCAGACCCCCATCTACAGCTTTGGAGGTAATGCATTTTGATGTCCCTCTAAAAGCCTGAGTGAAACATGTGCTGTTGGGAGACCAGCAAGCGTACAGGGGCTATCACAAATGATTACAGTCAGCCAGAGGGTGACGGGGACCGCCAGGTGCTGGGGCTTGTTGAAGCATTACTTATTGAATCCTGTCTTTAACGCTAAGGAGACTCAGGCCATATCTAAAAGGCTTCGAGGAAATCACACAAAATGTCAGAAACTATTACATGTCAGCTTCTGAAACACGAATACCTTGGCCAAAGTTTGCCACAA